ATCCCAAAATATTGTCAAATGGGAAGCAAAGTCAGTACAAGCGATACTCAGACAGAATAATGGTTGTTTGGCTGATTGTATGTACTTCCACTTGCGCTGTTTCCCCCAGAGATACCGGCTGTTTGACGGGTACGTGGGTAATTGGACAATTTTCAACTAATGTGCGCTCGCGAAACCAAAAGCGCCATGCCCAGCGAGCTTATCTGCATCCGTGACTTTGTTTTTGGCGCAGAACCGATAAGAAGAGTGGCTGGTAGCTTTACAAATGTATGTACATGTAGTGTGTAGTGTGTAGTGTATAGGGAATGGGGGCAGGCGGAAGCCAGAACGGAAATGCGCCAGTAAGGGAGGGGGGAGGAGGAGGAGGAGGAGGAGAATCTGGCCGGGCAATCCGCTTGCACCTTATGGCTTCTCACCTTATGGCTCACTTCACTTGTAGTAACTGGAATTTGGGGCACTGGCGGAGGTACGACAGTGATGGCCACGCAGTCTGGAAAGTAAAATCGATTCCCACGCCGCTTTTCCGTTCCGAATCATATTTCAGCAATCATACGGCTCTGCGTGCTTTTTATGGTTTATTTTGAGTGACTAATGGCCGCAATGCGCGGACTGACCATCGACCTTGTTGTGGGCCAAGTGCGTTAAGCACCTGAAAAGTCTAGTAGAATGCCAAACACGCACCGTTGTTCAGGTGAAGACGGACTACACTGCGCGAAATCGTGTGCGCATCCGCTTGATGCCCAGCTAGCTAGATATCAAATGAATCCAAGTAAATCATGGCAAAGTAACTGTGGAAGTACCTATATATTGATCCCGAAAATCACAACAAACTAAAGGCATAATCTATCTGCAAGCCATGTAGCTATTTGTCCATGGGACTGAATTTTTCAAGATATCTCTGAATAGCTCCGGCATTTTCTATGTGCAGAGGAACTGGTTTACTTTTGTGGAGCGAGGAGTGCGGAGGGACGGGGGATTGGACATGAGCGGTCATCGACGTTTTGGTTTCTGCTCGATGGATCGGGAATTGATTGATGTATTGATGTACTGTTTGTTTAGGATTAGTGGAAGACCCGAAAAGAAGAAAAACACACAAATTGCGTGGCTAAGACGTGAGCACACACACACACACCCACCAGAGCAGCTATCGTTCCCTTTCTCACCCACTGGCCAGCACACACACACATACACACAGTAGCACTTCCCATGTACATACTATACAAGCGAAAAAGAACACGCACGTACGTACCTCGTAAATGGGCAATTTATCCGAATTCCACTGGGCAATCCGCTCGGAGCTCTTGTCCACCAGGGTTATCACGATATCGGGGCATTTGAGCGCCATAACCGCGCAGGTCGGACCACCGACATAACCAGCGCCAATGCAGCAGACCTTCATTTTGTTGCGCACCGCTTTTCGTCGCTCGATTTGTTTTGCTTCGCCGTTCGTCCCTTTCCTCTTCCTGCTGCCCCTTTCAGAGTTTCCCTTTACTTATAGTTCTTGCTGTTGTTTTCTTTCGTTTGCTTTTCCGGCGAGTGCCGCGTGCTGTTCAATCGAGCGGTCGGAGGAATCTGACTTCACGCGGCGGCGGAACGACAATAACTACTACCAATACCGCTTAAAATCCATCCAGTTTGGATGTTTGCAAACAAGAACAACAACAAGGCTGGCCAATAGTAATGCAGAGTGACCGCAGAGCGAGCGGCCCATAACGCCACTGGCCAGCACGGTCACTCTGCGAACTTAAGAATTTTTAAACATTCGTTTTTTAGGATATTAACAATTCACAATACTTATTTGCACTTACTGCTAACTCCTTGTATTTAAATAGGATGCACTTTTATTTTTAAATATTTTGCTTGTTCAATAATGCTTATTAACATGTTTGACGAACATGTTCGGTTCGAACAACGATTCGTTTTATTACATTTTATTTAAATAAATTGTTTTTATATAAAAAGAAGTTTTCAAAAGAGTTATGCGGAATTATTATATTATCATTGATTTTGAAAATAGTGCCCATTAGCAAAGATTTTAACTTAATTTAATTTTAAGATGTTCCTGTTCGACGATTATTCAAAGTCAGATCTATATGTTTTACAATGATCTAAAAAGAGGAAAACAAGTTCCTCCATCCTAAAAAATAAATCAATATGAATATAATATCAGTTAGCTCCAGCTGGCAGAAAGACAACTGCCTTTATTTCACGACAAAAAGAGAAACTCAAAAGGAAAAAGCTCAGCACTTCCGGACATCCGGAACGATTCCGCACTCAGCATAAGGATCGGACACCTTGGCCTCCTTTTTGGCGCACGGCGGGCACTCCACGCAGCAGAGATCATCCTTGGGAGTGGCCTTCAGCAGGCCATCGATGTTCTCGCCCCTGGGCGTCTTTAGGTTGGTGCCCGAGTTCACCCGTGAGGGCACCTCATTCATCTTGGTCTTGGACGATGTCTTGGGCAGCGAGTACTTGGTGGCATCCGGCGGATTGGGTCGGCCCCAGAAGTCTCGCGGCACATCCCAGATGATCAGCGAACCGTCCGTGCTGCCGGTGACAAACATGGTCATGCAGGGACTGTACGCACAACTGATCACGGAGGAGGCGTGCTCCGAGCCTATGCCCACCACAGCACCACTGTTGTAGTCCCAGAGCTTGACCTGCAGATCGCTGCCAACGGTGATGAAGTAGTCACCAGTTTCGTTGATGGCCAAGCAGTTAACCGATGACTTCTTGGAGGCGGTTAGTTCCCTGATCAAGGCTCCATTGTACACCATCCAGTAGATGATTCTGCCGTCCGAGCCGCAGGTGATCACTTGGACGCCAGTCGGGAAATAGGACGCGGACATGAACTGCGTGTTGGCAGTCACCACTTGCTTGCGAGTCATGCGTCTGGTGGGGATTCGTTGCTGTATAAACAATACTTGGTATATATTGATATTATTAACTCACTTAATGTCCCAAATCACACAGGAGCCATCGGTGCAGGCCGAGATCACTTCAGTGTCCAGATAATTGATGTCCAGCGAGGTTATGGGCCCCGAGTGATCCTTCAGCACGCCCACGAGATCCTGGCGATACGGATCGATCTTCCATACCCTCACCTGTCCCTCGATGCCGCCAGTGACGATCAGACGACCCGAGGAGGCTACGGCCAGAGCGCTGCATCCTGTGTTAAATGAGACGGTTTTAATGAGAAGTTTGCAATTAGTATTCTCAAAGTTCACCCTTGTTGTGTGCGTTGGGTATGGCGTAGATGAGTCTTCCGGTGATCGGAGTAAAGGCGCGAATGATTCCATCGTTCCAAACAGAGACTATGCTAGTGCCATCGTGGGTGAAGCGCACACAGGCGCAGTTGAAGTTGTAGACCATGATGCGAAGCAGCTCCTGCTTGCGACCAGAGGACCAGATGCGGATGCACTCCTTGCCCGACGTGGCAAAGACGCCAGAGTAGTTCCTTAAGTATGATACATTCTAAGATATTTAGGCACTTGGAAGCGTAGTTTCGATCTACTTACTTGGGAAACGTGATGCAGTAGACCGACTTGGTGTGGCATGTTCGCAGCAGCTTGAGCACCCAAGTCTTAATATTGAGCCCGTAGATCTCGTTGGTGTCCGTGCAGATGTAGAACATGTCAGTTTTCGAGCGCACAAACGACGAGATCCTGCCTGAAACGTGAGTCTTCTTCAGGGTTCGCAAATATGGCCATGTGGGACCCGGATAGTCGCGGAAGTTAATCAGCGGCACATCGGTTCGCTCCTCCACCAGCTCTATATCACCATTTCCCGCTCCAATTAGCAAGCGTCCGCCTTCCAAGACATACAAAGCACGCACACCGTTCACATAGCGATTGCAATCCCTGCCCGTTGGCTTTCTAGAATTGTGGGTGCCGAAGGCTCCCAGGATGCAGCTGGTGGATCCCTTCTTGCTCACATGTTCGCTATCGCAGCAGTTAAGCACGATCTTCACAATATCACCAGTTCCGGTGCCCAAATAGGCAAACTCATCAGTCTTGTTGATGCGGGCGCAGTAGAAAACCCGCGTCTTGCTCGCCATCAGGACATCCTGGACGTACAGTTTCTTCTGCTCGCGCAGGATGCTCCACAGGCGCAGATGGCGATCCCCGGCGGTCACAAAGAAGTATGGATTGTTGTGCAACGGCCGGACAGTCAAGGCATTTCCAGATATAGCCCTCGACGCGGGTGTTTGGCAGATGGGAGAGCTATAATGGCGCACATAATCATTGAAGTTCATGCATGAGTTGTGATATACTTACAATGCCTCCATATCGAAGACGATTACGGAGCCATCATCCACGCCGCCAATGGACACCACGCATCTATCCTGGGCAGTAAAGCAGATGGCCTGCACCGACACCTTGTGCAGATCGTGGCGAGCGATCTCCTTGCGCTGATCGTAATCCCAGATGATGACATAGCCACGGAATCCCATGTGATTGATCTGGCCGGAGGCCATGTACTTGCCACTTTTGCTGAGATCCAGGCATGATATGGTGTTCGTGTGTCCGGCCACAAACTCCTGCGTATTCTTTTTGTAGTCGGCGATGCCTATTTTGTTGCCCAGCGCAAAGATAATGGATCCAGTGACCGGATGCTGGCGGACTCCATTCTCCACTTTGCCATTGATGCCGAAGATCGCGCGCGGAAGCAGTTGCCTACAGCCATCGTTGGACTCGCCCATTTTCACTGGATTATATCAAAATATACGATTCGAAATGTAACATATAAGGGAGTTTGTGTCTGTTCTGTGCTTGAAGGCTTTTAACCGGCTTGTTATTTGTTTGAAAACAAGGCAGCTGGAATTTTAAACAGCGACCGTTGCTTGGTTGCCGCTGTTGCCAAAGTAACTATTTTAACGATTTGGTAAAATGTAAGTATTTTATATTTACCCAATTTCATAATAAGTGTTATGTTAAGTTTAAAACTAAATTAACGATAAAAAAAAGGGTATAAGTGGAATTCAAAAAAGTCTTATGGGATTAGAAAGGTTTTAAGGTTAAAACTAGTTGTGAAGTTAGATGATGGATTATAAAAAATAAGATTATAAATTAAATTTTTTAATTAGTCAAGCCTCCTTCTCGACGTGGAAGGGCACTTGGTTGCAATACTGTTTCAGTTTGTTGACATTGAGCGCGGAGCAGCTTCGCTGAACACGATCTTGCATTTCGATCTCCTTCTGGATGATATCCTCCATGGCGACGTACTTTTCCTCCTCGATCTTCAAATGTGCCAGCATAGCCATGTTCTGAAATGACAGTGCGCTATAACGTTTATTGCTTTCTTGATCTAGCATTATTAAAACCCAACATAAATCATACTTTTACCACAATCTTAAGCTTCAGTAAAATATCATTTCCTTTAGTTCTAGAAGTTACCTCTCTGTATTTGGCCTTCAGCTCCTCCAACTTAGCTACTTTCTGCTCCTCCTCCTCGCTGGTAAACTGATTTGCGAAGAACATGTGCTCCGGATGCAGCACATGCGATGGAACGTGGAACACCTTCCTGTCCAGTTCCCTCAGGGCTTTTAGGCCTTTGCCGGCGGCGGCCTGGAACCGACGCTCCACGTTTTCTCTCTGGGCCTCTAGTAAATCCGCCGTTGCGGGCGTCTTGATCTTATCGATAATCTGGCCAATGCCTTTCCTAATGATGTCCTGCACAATATGTTCACCTATGGAATGGAAATGATAGAAAAAGGACGCTGATGTGGGAAGATAGGGACGTAGCACTTACGCTCTGCCGTTAGCTGCGCTGCTGTGAAATTGAAGAACTTCTGATCGTAGGTGCTGCTGTTAAAGTCCATTATGACTGATTGCAATAATATATTTTGATAAATAACAAAAAAAGCTGGGCAAAAACGTAAGCAATCCAAAAAGTCGCGCAATCAGTGTTACCGTTCTAGGAAAGCAAAGAGATGCTGCCACATCAACAGTGCTGCCACACTGAACTGCAAATCTAGCTATTTGCTAAACTAGCTAATTATTATGCAGATGGAAATAATAAAAATAAAACATAAATATGTATTATTTTTAAAAATCTTGACAAAAACCTGTTAAGTTACATGAACTATTTATAAAAGCATACATTACAAAGGGATCTCCCATTATAATAGGTGAATAAATAATTATATATTCAATAGAATGATTGAATTTATAAAATACCACATAAATACCACATCATTTGTTTGCTGCTTGTCAAATACATTTCTCAATACACTAATGGCGCTGTTAGGCTCAGCGATTATATCTAGCTTATAAAAAAATAAATAAAAAAGTTTTTAAAGTTACCAGAACGCATACAAAAAAAAATTTATATAAATCTCTTTCGCTGCGAAATATTACATTAGTTCAAATCAATAAGCACCATGAATGCCCCTAATGTATTTGTTTTGCTTTGCCGGCTTTGCGAATATAAAACAGCGAGAACTGAATAATCAGGAGAGTGCGACACACATAACGGTGCCTATATAAATAGCTCACACCACTCTTCTGCAGTGGCTATTTACAGTTAGGCACTGTGCGAGGTTCCAGCTAGTTAAATACTTCAACTACTGCAAATTCAACTTGACCCGAAGCAAACAAAGGAAGCAAATATTCAAAAATGCTTTTCATTGGGGGCGTTTTGAGGCCTCTGGGAGTTGGACTTTTGCTCCTGGGACTGTTTGCGCCCATATCTGGCATTGGATTTCGTCGCGGAAGGCTGAGCAATGGATTCCTTGGGGAGCCCAGCAAGATTCCAACCCTGCAAGGGAGCCAGCACTCCGAGGATCTGTGGTTCGAGCAGCGATTGGATCACTTCAAGTCCAGCGATGTGCGCACCTGGCAGCAGCGTTACTTTGTGAATGCCGATTTCTACCGGAATGACAGCTCCGCACCCGTATTCCTGATGATCGGTGGCGAGGGTGAGGCTTCGGCTAAGTGGATGAGGGAAGGAGCCTGGGTGCACTATGCGGAGCACTTTGGAGCGCTTTGTCTGCAGCTGGAGCACCGTTTCTACGGCAAGAGTCACCCCACCGCGGATCTGTCCACCGAAAACCTCCACTATCTCAGCTCAGAGCAGGCTCTTGAGGATTTGGCCAGCTTTGTGACCGCCATGAAGGTTAAGTTCAACCTGGCCGACGGTCAAAAATGGATCGCATTCGGTGGCTCGTATCCTGGATCGCTGGCTGCCTGGGCACGCGAGAAGTATCCCCAGCTGATCTACGGATCGATCAGCTCCAGTGGTCCACTCCTGGCTGAGGTGGACTTCAAGGAGTACTTTGAGGTGGTCAAAGCCTCTCTAGCTGCCTATAAGCCCGAATGCGTGGAGGCCGTAACCCGCAGCTTTGCCCAAGTGGAGATTCTACTCAAACACATGATTGGGCAACGCAGTCTGGACGAGAAGTTCAAGTAAGTGGATCACCTTTTCATCATCCTGTACAAGTGTTAATTTAGTATACCATTTCATTCTCAGAACCTGCACTCCCATCAAGGATTCCATTGAAAACGACCTGGACATGGCCAACTTCTTTGAGAATCTGGCTGGAAACTTTGCTGGAGTGGTGCAATACAACAAGGATAACAGTCCCCATGCTACCATTACCATTGACGACGTGTGTTTTACCCTCACTTTGCTCTTCCAAGCACATACTAACAATATTTAAACTACGTAGATTTGCGATGTTATGCTAAACACAACCGCGGGACCACCTGTGACCCGTTTGGGCCTGGTAAACGACATGCTATTGAAGGAAGCGAACACAACCTGCCTGGACTACAAGTACGAGAAGATGGTGGCGGACATGAAGAACGTTTCCTGGGACTCGGAGACGGCCAAGGGCATGCGGCAGTGGACTTATCAGACCTGCCACGAATTCGGCTTCTATCAAACCTCGGCAAACCCGACCGACACTTTTGGTGATCGTTTCGGGGTCGACTTCTTCATTCGCCAGTGCATGGATGTGTTCTCAAAGAATATGGACGCCAAGTTCCTGCAGTTGGTGGTGTCCGGCACCAATGATAACTATGGCGCCCTGAAGCCAAAGACCACAAATGTGCTGTACGTGCATGGTTCCATTGATCCCTGGCATGCTCTGGGCTTGGTCAAGTCATCTAACCCTGCACTGCCCACCATTTACATCGAAGGTATGCGCTGATCAATATATATTCCCCTAATTTGTTGGTTAATGTACATATTTTTCGCCTTTTAGGAACTGCTCACTGCGCCAATATGTATGAGCCGGTGAAAACCGATCCGCCCCAACTGGTGGCCGCTCGCAACAATATACTCAAATTTTTGGCCAAGCTACTGAATGGCTACACCTCAGCATTAATCTGATTACCAAATGGAAGGCAGGGAAGAGTGGTCAAGTCAAATGTAATTTCTGCACTCGTCAGCGATTTGTTTTATTATTTGCTAACGCAAGAGTTTTATAATATATTTTCTGCTCCGCTGGGAGTTAATCCTTCTTGGCCTGTTCCATTTTTTCGTGGAATCGCTTCCAGTAATGCTGCACCGTGGCGTTTCGAACGATATTGTGCTCGACAAAGTTCAGCAGCCAGGTGCCGGTAAGGTAGGTGAGGTCATAAAAGAAAGCCACCACGCGAAAGAAATACTTCTCGGTCTGCTCCTTGCTGGGCAAGTTGGCCACGACATCCTGCAACTGCTTGGCGGCCGCCTCCTTGGCTTCCATTGCCTTCTTCAGCGCCTCGCTCTTCTTATCCTCATTCGAAGTGCCCTTGCTGCGTACAATGGTGCTGGAGTCCAGTGGCTCGGCTCTGCCCAGTTTTCCGCCTGAAGTGACTATGGAAATGGATGGCGTCTGCACCTCACCAATGGGCGCGTCCTTACGCGTGGTGTTCCCTGCGTTATTTCCCAAGGTGCTGCTGCCACCAGCGCTCGTCGAGGTGGATGGAAACCCTGGAGCCGCAAAGCCGGGCGGCACGTTCTTGGGCTTGTTATCGCTGCCACCTCCAGCGGAGAAGCTGCGATCGGGATTCAGGGACACAGCACGTGGACGCACAGTGTTGGTATTGAGGCGGATCAATGTGGAGTAATCTTTAGGGCAGAAAAAGCATAGTCTAGTCTAGTTGCTAATGACAAAAAACACGTGCTCTTCACTTACTCCACGTTGTGACCAGTGGTCCAGCGGATTTACTCCATTTGGTCATTAACATTGCGCGAATCATTTTCCAAGGTTTTGCGGCGATTGCAGATTTTAAATTCTTCACAGACGCAAGTGACAATTTCAACAAACGAATTAATCCAAAATGCCTGACAAAAAGCGGAAAGGCCAACTTGACTATTATCAGCCAGAGTTGCAACCCTTTCGAAAGAAAATCTTTTTTTCTAGGGAAAGAACACTAAATTCTAATAAAGCTAGCCCTAAAAAAGCAAATATTTTTAAAGATATGTGTATAAATAGGAAGAAGCTATAGAATAACAGCTTCAAATTTGTTATATACTATTCTTGTGTCGGAAAGCTCAATATAATTTCGAGATCCTTTTATTTATTTTACAGAGTTGTCAGCTCTGCCAGCTCATAGAATGATGGGCAGCACTGACAGTATTGAAGTACGAGTGGTTATTTTGTATAAATTGTCTTTTATTTAGGCTATTACTAAACATATTAGTAAGTTTACTAGTTACATTTTAGGGCTTACAACTCCAGGCCTTAGGTTCACCTTAAATAACGCTGTCAAGCTCTTGGCAAAAAATAAACGTCCGGCAAATGGCTGAGTCCAAGGAGACACCTCTACGATTTATGGATGTTCTCCTTGGTCGCCGCCATTAGCCAGCGAAACTTAACTAAATTCCAAAGAGAGCCGATCGGGTTGAGAGTTTAGGATGTACAAAACCCATCGGCTGTCCATTGTCGAACTTTACATTTGTGTGTTAGGCTAATCTTTAAATTAGTTAACTTATAGGTGCAATTTGATGGACACGGTTAACTAAATTGCAGTTGGTTAATTTGTTCCGCGACTACTGGCAACCAAATCGGTTATTAAAATTACGTGTGTCAAGCATGTAACGCATTTAAAACATATATGGAGCATACTATTGCGTATATGCAGAGCGTAAATGTATCGAGTTCTTTGCGTTTAATGGAAATGTTTATGCGCGTTTCCTTTAATACTACGACGACAGCTAAATAATGATGATCTTTTTGATCCGCAGCCCTCTTAGAATAAACCAATTTGTTTCAGATTGTTCTTGATGATCACATCGGTGACGGCATCGAAGACGAACTTCACGTTGTTCGTATCCGTGGCGCAGGTGAGATGCGTGTAGATCTCCTTTTGGTCTTTTCGCTTGTTGAGATTTTCAAACTTCATGCGAATGTAGTTGGCCGCCTCATCGAAGGTGTTGGTTCCTAAAAAAAGGTATGATCTTAGCCAAAAATGTAATGGTTTCTCACATTCTTATGTTACCTGTGTATTCTGGGAAGCATATCGTCAGCGGAGATCTCTTTATCTTCTCCTCAAACAGATCCTTCTTGTTGAGGAACAGTATTATGGAGGTTTCCACAAACCACTTGGAGTTGCAGATGGAGTCAAACAGCTTCAGGGATTCAATCATGCGGTTCATCTCTTCGTCCTCGGCCAAAACTAAATCGTAACCTAACAAAATATGTAATAATAAATAGCATTAGATTTTTGAATTCTCATATTTTACAACAGATGTAATTTTGCAGAGAATTATTAGACTTACCCGATAGCGCGACGCAGAAGATTATGGCCGTAACGCCCTCGAAGCAATGAATCCACTTTTTGCGCTCCGATCGCTGGCCGCCCACGTCAAAAAGTCTGAAGCAAGAACATAACCATTAGAATCGAATGAAATGAACCGGAAATGGCCAATTAATGGCAACTCAACTCACTTGAAGTGCAGCTGCTTGCAGGAGAAGTGTGTCTCGATGATGCCAGTGGTCTTCACCCGCGTGCGGAGCACATCCT